ATTGTGGTTAATGAGGCTCATCTCCTCTTTTTTTTTTTTTTTTTTTTTTTTTTGAGAGGTTTTTGCTATAGGGCGCATGTACTCTCCAGAAGGACAGAGAGAGACAGAGAGACAGAAAGTGAGAAATCACCCCCCAGGGGGGATGGCCACGCCACAATCCCTTCTCCCTTCTCCTCTTGGGATCTTGGGCACGCACACACACGCGCCTGGCATGACTCTAAGCCATCGGGTCCAGGACTCGAACCGTGGTGGACTACATGGGAGTCCAGCGACATAGACATTCTCCCAACTGCTGGTCCCTTGTTTCCTCTTATAAGGACTCCAATTCTATCAGATCAAGGCCACCCTGGTGACCTCATTAATCACCTCCACAAACACAAACACCCTGTCTCCAAATAAGTTCACACCCTGAGGTCCTGGGGGGGTCAGGACTTAAACGTATGAGTTTGTAGGAACATAATTCAGTATGTAGGAACATAATATCCCCTTGGAAGAAGCTGTTGGTAAAACTACCCCTGCATTCAAGTGACGGGTAAATGACACCCACACACGCCATCCCCCTTCCAAATCAGCACCACGCACTTCTTTTCGAACAATCTCAGATCTGTCTTCACACATTGCTTTCAAGACATAAGAAGAAAGTTTGGAGAATCTCTTTTGCATTTCATGGCTTCGCTTCCGGTGACCTTTTTTTTTTGGTAGTCTATTTACACCACAATCTCTTTTCCCATCACCATGGACTGTTTCTTTTTTTTTCCTGACTTCGAAAAAATTGTATTTGCATCAAATGACAAGGTTTCTTTCTTTTTCTCCCTTCCTTCCTTCCTTCCTTCCTTCCTTCCTTCTTCTTCTTCTTCTTCTTTTTTCTTTCTCTCTCTCTCTCTTTCTTTCTTTCTTTCTCTTTTTCTTTGTTTTTTTTTTTTCATTCCTGGTGCTCCCCACCCCCAGCCCAGCCTTTCTCCTAGACTGAGTTCCTTCCACTGCATGGGACAGCCCGGGGGCCATCTCTGCAGCCTCAGACAGCCCTTCCTCCTGGTCTGCCCCCTGCTCCCTGCTGTGAGATGCCCGAGCCTTGCCGTGCTCTCTGGCATCTCACGGACTCTTCCCTACCCCGCAGGTGGAGGGGGCTATCGACCCAAGACGCGTTATGGAAGCGCATACGGTAAAGGAGCTCTGGGTCACAAGTTGCTAGCACAGAGCGCTAACAGGGAGAATTCTGTCTTCGCGTCTCACGCTGGGCAACTAACCTGCCCCCTCGGTCTCTCACCTGCATGCTCACCAGGCAGCATGCTGAGGGGAGATGTCCTGCATGTCTTGCAGCATTAATTTCTTGAAAGGAATGAACGTCAAGATGCAGGTGTTGTTGTGTGAGTGTGTGTGCACACGTGTGCTTCTGCGTACATGCATGCATGCAGGTATTCGTACATGCTCACACCTAGACAAGGCCAGGTGGAGGTGTAGATTTCTCATGATTGTGCCCATGCATGCGTGTGGATATGTGTGTATGCATGTGTTTACATGTCTGCATGTCTTGCAGCATTAATTTCTTGAAAGGAATGAACGTCAAGATGCAGGTGTTGTTGTGTGAGTGTGTGTGCACACGTGTGCTTCCACGTACATGCATGCATGCAGGTATTCATATGTGCTCACACCTACACAAGGCCAGGTGGAGGCCTGTGTGGATTTCGCATGACTGTGCCCATGCATGCATGTGTATATGTGTGTATGCATGTGTTTACATGTGCACACAAGTGCAACAGATTGCACATGTGTCTGCATGCACTTGTGTAATTACATTAGGCATGCATGTGCATATTGTATGTGGTTGTGCATGTAGGTGCCCTTGGGTATGTGCATGTGAGTTGCAACATACTGTGCATGTGTGCATGCACACACACTCTTGTGCTTGGCTTACACATGCATGTGCGTGCTGCATGTGGGCTGCTTACATGCATGAGTTACATGTGTGTGTATGTGTGTTGTACATGGATGTGTTTGTGTGTCTACTCTCCAGCCCTGAAATTAAGCCTGCGTTGTGCTCTGTTGTTGTCACTCACACCCCAGGAGTCGCCGTTATATGTGGCATGTATGTGCACTTCCCTCCTTCCCTGTGCTCACGGTCCTTCCCCCAGCCAGAACAGAAAGTGATTAACACGGAGATTTTCGTGTGTGTTGTGCTCATTGTCCGAGCCCATTGTCAGCCTGCCAACAATGGCCCCAACACAAGGCCCTCCATTAGCTCTGCAGGATAAACACACGGGCGGGTCTGCTTCCCTTCCAGGTGGAGATGGTCACGCAACTTACGGAAACCCCCAAGGTAAGGGACTGACTCCGCCAGCCCCGTCTTTCCAAGAGCAAGCCCTTGCAAATCGTTATCAGAAGACCCACCTCCACATCTGTGATCCCAGTGTCCCAGCTTTCAAAAAGCACTTGCTGGTTCTCTATGGCTATAAAGAAACTTCCAAGGGAACGTGTGTGACCTTCAGGGTGGGACCAGGTGGAGCTCAGAGGAAGGAGAGGCAAGGATGGGTTCTCTGGCTGGAAAACGCCCTTCTGCTTTCAGAGCAAGACCTTGAAGGATGGCTCGGGTAACTGCATCCAGGAAGGTGCCAGGGCAGCTTTCTTTCCTTTGAGCACTTAGGACCCAAGAAGGAAATGAAAAGGGCAGTTATCAGAAGATCCCTGGCAGGGCACTGTCAGCCCCATCCCAGAGCAGACAATGGAGCATTTGCACCCAGAAAACTACCTTTGCCTCCCGTGCTGCTGGGAGAAAGGTTCCCCATCTCTTAGTGACTAGAGAGGCTGCCTGTTTGAGTTGGAGGTTGAGGATAAATCTGGCCACCCAACCACAAGGCTTTGATGAGTTTTCAATTATCGAGGGTGGGGGAAGAAAATGACTGAAGAGGCTCCCGACTTCTAATCCCAGGACTGCTATTGCTGTTTTCATGGTGTGATGGCATTCTTAGGAAATCCATTGGTTATTTTTTTCTTGAGGGTATAAGTTGGAGACCGGAAGAATGTACAAAAGATAAATGAGGAATCCTTTGCGCTCAAGTCTGGCACAGAATTTGGGGGAGGCGTTGGGGGTCCTGTGACAAAATATTGGGTGTTGGAAAAGTCCCTCCCTATTTTTCAATGTTTTTCTATGCAAGAAAAGAGAAACGCATCATGAATGCCGATGACAGAAGGAATATTCCTGCACGGGGGTAGGTGGGGGTTGGCAAGGACTCCTGCAGAGAACCATGTCCCTGCAAGTGCTGTAAAGGGGAGTGTGCGGTGTCAGGGAAGGCAGGGTGCTGGGTGGAGCTGGGTACACCCCAGCCATGTGCGTGACCAGGATGTAATATGTGGTGAAGAACGGGGACAAGAGATGAGTCTGGTCAGGTAAGCAGTTATCAGAGCCTGCACTTTATACAAGATTTACAGGAAGGAACTATCCTTGTGGACACGTGGGTGGAAAATGGATCTCAGGGGGTCTGCTGAGGTTCAGTAAAAACTCCTTCAAGACCAGTCAGCAACCTAAACTGGATAAGAGGATGAGTTGAATGAAGGTAGTCAGTAGAGGGACAGAAGAGGACGTTTACAGGACCATTAGGTAGTTGAAATGAATTGTATGTGGATGATTTGTTTGCAATAACAGAGCGGAAACAGGTGTGTAGCAGTCAGCGATGCTGTGTAACAAAAGATCCCAAAGCTTAGCGACTTAAAACAACCATTTATTATAGTCATGATGACATGAGTCAGCAGTTTGGGCTAAAATCACTCAACAAGTCCTCCTAGTATCTTCCAAATTCCTTGCATTTCTGGTAAGTCCTTGTGATGAGCCTGGCTGCATCTTCCTCATGTATCTGGGGCCTTCAGTGGAGGTTTAATTCAGCTTCAGGTGAGGATCTCGTATTGCTCTGAGAAGCTTGATTACTCAGTGGCCAGGCGGTTACCCAGAGATGAAACTAGACCAGCTGAACTTTGAAGAATTTGGTTGACCAAAGCCCAGACCCTGAGAATGTAGACACAGTAGACCGCAACTCTCAATAAGGATTTCTCCAACATCACACAACAGAGGGTGTGGGATGCAGGGCAGTCTCCCCAGGAGGCACAGCGAGGTGGAAGTATCAGACCTAGAACAGATCCTTGAGCTCTGAGAATGCTCTCCCACCCAATGTGGTAGCTTCATGCCTGGAGCCTCCTTGTGTCCCTCACCAATGACGCACCAAGAACTGGCTCAGGGCTTTCAACCCTGTCTGATAGAAGGTGTGTCATGGGCATGGAAATTTGAAATGGAAACCATGATCTCTTCTTCCTTTTTTTTTTCACTTAATGTATTTATTTTAATTTGACCAGAGAGGGACAGACAGAGAGAGAGAGAGAAGGTGAGAAAGCAAGCCTCCAGGTTCAGGACTTGAACTGTGGTCAACCATGTGGGAATCTAGTGTCCTTAGCTACCACTCCACCTGCTGGCCCCCTCTTCTTCTTTTTTGCTATTTATATGCTTTTTCTTTTCTTTTGGGAAGTGTTGATTTTGTCATAGCATTTGGTCATCCTTTGTTAACAAAAAAACCTAATCTTTTTTTTTTTTTTTTAAGAGAGATTTTTGCTATAGGACAAGTGTGGTCACCAGAGGCAGAAAGTGAGAAATCAGCCCAGAGAGGATGGCCATACTGAAACCCCTTCTCCATTCTCCTCTTGGGATTGGGGCCATGCACGCACACATGCCTACCTGAGTTTCAAGCCGCATGGGTCAGAACTCGAACTGCGGTTGGCCATCTGGGAGTCCAACGACGTAACCATTCTGCCATCGGCTGGTCCCAAGGAAACGTAATCTTTGTAGTCATTTTGGCCTTCAGGGCCTCTGATAAGTGTCTATATGTGTATGTGCAGAGACCCGGATGCCTTCCAAAGCTGGCCTACTAGGGCCCTTACGATGGGCTTGTTGGAAAAGTCACCATGACGTGTTTTTCTATGTTTTTCTATGCAAAAACGTGTCATAACTTTTCTAACAACCCAATAGTTGAGCACAGAGGTAATTTTTTCTTTTCTTTTTATTTTTTTAAAGGTTTTTGCTGTAGGGCGCGTGCGCTCTCCAGAAAGACAGAGACAGAGAGACAGAAAGCAAGAAATCACCCCCCCAGGGGGGATGGCCATGCCGCAATCCCTTCTCCTCCATTCTCCTCTCAGGATCTTGGGCACGCACGCACACGCGCCTGGCGTGAGGTTAAGCCACCGGGTCCAGGACTCAAACCGTGGTCGGCTACGTGGGAGTTCAGTGACATAGCCATTACGCTAACTGCTGGTCCCAGAAATATTGTACATCTTAACAGGTACAGAGTGAGCTCAGCCACGGGGTGAGTGATACTGGACATTATGGGAAGGCTCAGAGTTCCAGCCCCCGCTCGGCCCGAACACGCCAGGCACAGGTGTGCACATCCATGGTCCTGTCTGGGTGGACATCGAGGTGTGCTGAGACCTGGAAGAGGTCCTTTCTCTCGGTCTCTCCCCCTCTCTCCCCTCTCTCCCCTCTCTCACGTACACACACAACGGAAGGAATGAAGAAATAAAGGAAGAGGGAAAATGAAGGGGAGGGGAGGAAGGGGAAGAAGAAAGAAAGAGAAAGATTTTGAAAAAGATCCTGGGCTTTCCAGTGCTGGAGGCCATGAGGAAGACCCAGGTTCGAATCCCAGGTCGACCCACACACGTACGGAGCATGTGAGTCCGAGATCCCAGCCAGCTGAGAAGGCTGGATGAGGACCGCCATGTCGGACCCTACGGAATATCCTTGTCTCTCTCTCTCTCTGACTCATGAAATAAACAAACAAATGTAAAAAGTAAATCGTTCAGAATAAAGTTCCCCATATAAAAAGGTATGAGGGAGTCAAACACAGCGAGCAAACCAAAACTAGGCGCAGGGCTTCGTGGGTTCAGATCCTTGCCTTGGGAGTCTTGGATGGGTTCCACCTGGATTTGGACCTTGCGCCTTTGGGAGAGAACAGTCATTCCCTGGGGAGCGTTTGCTCCGACTGGCTGTTTTCTTCCTGGAGGTGAGGGGAGGTAGACAAGGCATGTGCTGGCAGACTTGATGGGAATATGAGGGTCTCCTGCTGGCCCTGGTTGGCTCTCACACCTCGCCCTCTCTGGACGTGACTTCCCCGCAGGGAACACCGTGGCGAGCATCGTGTCTCCGATCGTATCCGTGGTGGTGGTCACCCTCGTGGGAGCGGCAGTCAGCTACTTCAAACTCAACCGGAGGAGGAATTGCTTCCGGACTAATGGCAAGTTCCACCATCCGTATTCTCTTTCTTAATTATCAAACCAGATCACAGGACCGGCAGGTGGCTTTGGTGTTGAGGGTGCTGGACTCCCACATGGCTGACCACGGTTCGAGTCCTGGACCTGGCAGCTTGCTTTCTCACTTTCCATCTCTCTTGCTCTCTCTCACTCTGTCCCTCTCTGGCCAAATTAAATTAATTAATGAATTAAATCAAATGAAATAATTCTTGGGACCAGCAGTTAGCGTCATGGCTATGTCGCTGGACTCCCACGTAGTCGACCGCGGTTTGTGTCCCAGACCTGGTGGCTTAAACTCACACCGGGCGCGTGTGCGTGTGTGCCCAAGATCCTGAGAGGAGGATGGAGGGGAAGGGATTGCGGTGTGGCCATCCCCTCTGGGGGGGTGATTTCTCGCCTTCTGTCTCTCTGTCTCTCTCTGTCTGGCGAGTGCACGCGCCCTATAGGAAAAACCTCTCCAAAAAAAAAAAAAAAGAAAAAAAAATGAAATAGTTCTTAAAAAAATACAGATTAAAAAAGCCTTTATTTTCTTATTTATCTAATTATTTTTGTTGTGGTTTTCAAGTTGTCAGATTTGGGACTCAAACCACAGTCTATCATGTGGGGATCCAGCACCCTAAGGACCATGCCACCTGCTGGCTTCAAATTCTAATTAAAAAAAAAAAATAGAGACCAGCTGGTGGTGTGATGGTTTAGGTGCTGAACTCCCACTTGACCGACTGCAGTTTGAGTCCCGGACCCGGCAGATTGTTTTCTCACTTTGTTTCTCTCTCTGTGTGTCTCTGTCTCTCTCTGGAAAGCACATGTGGCTTATAGCGAATGAAAAAATAAAAGAGAAAGGATTTTTAAAAAATTTTTAAACTTGGGACCAGCAGATAGCATAATGGTGTTGTCTCTGGACTCCCACATGGCCGACTACGGCTCAAGTCCTGGACCCAAAGGCTTGGAACTCATGATGGGCATGTGTGTGTGCGTGCCCAAGATCCTTGGAGGAGAATGCTGAACGGATTGTGGCGTGAACATCCCCTCAGGGGTTCTTTCTCGCTTTCTGTCTCTCTGTCTCTCCCGAGAATGCACATGCCCCATGGCAAAAATCTCTCAGAAAAGAAAAATAATAAAAAAGTCAGAGGAGGGACAGGAATGGTTTATCCAGAAGCAATGAGTCCAACTTTTCTCTCGGGTCTAGTCAGTAGGGTCTGTCTGGAGTTTGCAGAGAAACTGCAGTGATCCCAGAAGAATCTCTGACAAGTCTGTGTGTACCTTTAGGGGTTGTGTTTGTCAACCTCCCAACCTGTCTGCGGGCTCCCCCTACTGGTCAGTGGGTGCCTCACATGAGCCTCTGTGTTGGGGTGAGCAAACCTCCCTCTGCAGAACACTTAGTCTGAAAGTTGAGGTGACAGGATTGAGGTAATGAAGACCAGCCTTGCTTCCATAGCAACACACTGTATCATTTTTTTTTTTAGACTTTTTTGTCTTAAGGCGCTCGCCAGAGAGAGACAGAGACAGAGAGAAAGAAAGTGAGAAATCATCCCTCAAGGGAGATGACCATGCCACAGTCCCTTCTCCTCCATTCTCCTCTCGGGATTCTTGGCACGCACGCACACGCACCCAGCGTGAGTTTTAATCTACCAGGTGTGGGACTCGAACCACAGTCAGCCATGTGGGAGTCCAGCTGGCCCTGATGCAATGTATCATTACAGAGATGCTGTGGGTTCATTTGGAAGCCTCTTTGCATTGATTCAAACACACTTAGCTGGGCCAACAGGTGGCGTGGTGGTTAAGGAGCTGGACTCCCACATGGCCAACCATGGTTCAAGTCCCGGACCCGGTGGGTTGAAACTCCTGCTGGCGCAGGTGCATACGTGCCCAAGATCCCAGAAGAGAATGGGTAGAAGGGATTGCCGTGTGGCCATTGCCCCTGGGGGGTGATTTCTCACTCCCTTTTTCTGTATCTCTGGTGAGCACATGTGTCCCCTAGCTAAATATCTCTCAAAAACATAAGATAAAATAAGAATAAACACGTTTAGCCAAGCACAGAAATTGGGTGAGCAGCCTGACAAATGACATACCCAGAGGCTTCTGGGGCACAGAATCTAACAGTGGGGACAGCTACAGGCTGTAATCTCAGGAAATCAGACAAGTAATATTTCCTGCAGTTTTTTTGGGGGGGTAGGTTTTTACCATGGGGTGCATGCACTTGCTGCAGAGAGACAGAGAGAGGGAGAGTGAGACATCACCTCCCGGGAGGATGTCCACTCTGCAATCCCTTCTCCATTCCCCTCTTGGGATTTTATGCACACACATACACACACACACACACACACGCAAATGCCTGGTGTGATTTCACGCTGCCACATCCTGGACTCGAACTGTGGTCCTCCATGTGGGAGTCCAGCACCTTAACCACCATGCCACCTGCTGGCCCTGAGACAGGTCCTTTGTAGCAGTTGTTTTTTTTTTCTTTTGGAGAGATTTTCACTGTAGGGCGCGTGCGCTCGCCAGACAGACAGAGAGAGATATAGAGACAGAAAGCGAGAAATCACCCCCCAGGGGGGATGGTCACGCCGCAATCCCTTCTCCTCCATTCTCCTCTCGGGATCTTGGGCACGCACGCACACGCGCCCGGCGTGAGTTTTAAGCCACCGGGTCCGGGACACGAACCGCGGTCGACTACGTGGGAGTCCAGCGACATAGCCATTACGCTAACTGCTGGTTCCCTGTAGCAGTTGTTTTAAAGTAGTTTTGGTTTTATTTTCCCACGTGTGACATCGTGTTTCCCACCTTCCTTACAGAACCAGCACACGTCTGAAAACCCACGTGCCCTGTGGCTTTGAGAAAAGTCCGATCCAGAGAAGAAATCCGCGTTCCGCTTCCGGGCGAAGCTCTTTTTATTCTTGGCAAAATCCCCCGAGCTAAAGGGCCTTCTCTTCTTTTTGAAGGACTTGAAAAAGATTCCCTAACTTGTGTGGTGGTGGTGGGGTCCTAACAATAGGTTCGTCTGGGGGCCAGCAAATGGCGTGGTGGTCAGGAGCTGGGCTCCCACATAGCCAACTGTACGGTTCGAGTCCCAGGCCTGGCAGCTGGAAAAATCACACCAGGCGTGTGTGCGTGTGCGCCCAGCATCTTCAGAGGAGAAGGGAGGAGAGAAGATTGTGGCATGGCTGTCTCCCCTGTAGGGGGCGAGTTCTCCCTTTTCCTCTGTCTGTCTCTGTCCTGTGGTTGCATGTACCCTACAGGGAGAAAAAAAAAGCCCTAAAAAGAAAAAAGAAAAAAGAAAAAAAAGATAGCTCCATGTGTCAGTTCAGCCTTCATTTAGAAAGAGAGATCAGGAGTCCCCGCTTGGAATTCTTCAACTACCTCACGGTGCGAGTAACCTGCAAAGGTTTAACCCCGCAGCGGGGTCTCAAAGCACCAGGCAGGGGAAAGGCATTGTATGTCAGGGGAGAGGGAAGCATGCCCCTTACTGAGGTTTCCAAGTGAAGATAAGTTCGAGCTCTGGCAGCTCAGCCTGGGCTACGTTCTGCAGCCCTGCCCAGCAGGGAGAGCTCAGCCTTGCAGAGACCTGGGGTGAGTTACTCCCCAGCGTCTGCGTCCAGCGTGGGGATGGCCCCGCCGAGCACGAGGCTGAGTGTGTGTGTCCTAGAACGCGGAATTACTGACGCTGAAACTGTCTGGAAGAAGCCAGTCTTGGGGTACTTCTTTCCTAGGGAAGATGACGGTTTCAGTATTTGCAGGGAAGAATGGGCAGAGACGTGGGTTCGGATGTTGGAGCTGGACACTGGGCACTATTTTATCTTCAGCCTTGGGGACTGTAAAGGTGTGTGCGTGAAGCATCTGTGTGGCTTTCTCTGGCGTGTACTGTCCCTTGTCAGTGCGGTAGGAAACCGTCGTGTGTCTGTAGGCATCTAAGAAGAGGCTGGCTGTTTGCTTCTGCTGTAGCCGTAGTTCTGGGGGAGGAGAGGACGGTTTGGGTACGTGAGTACAGTTTGACGACAGCGAGGCTGATGTTTTACAACTTTCAGATGGTGCCCTACATATCACAACCAAAGGTGAAACTCATATATGGAATCTATAAAAATCCCAAGTATGTGGGGCAGAAGGTGGCAGGGTGATTAAGACTCCCACGTGGTCAACCACGGTTCCAGTCCTGGACCTGGAGGTTTGACAATCACTCCAGGTGCACATGCCCCAAATCACAGGAGAACAATGGAGAAGGGATTGCAGCGTGGCCATGCCCCCCAGCCCCAGGGGTGATTTCTCCCTTTCCATCTCTCGGTCTCTCTTCATCGCTCTCCAGTGAGTGCACGCTCCCTATGGCAAAAAAAAGAAAACCAAACCCCCTAAGAATCAAACAAAAATATGCAGGTATTGTGCTTATCCTTGTGAATGGGGACTTACATCTTCAGAGGGGGGAAGCTGAAAGCAGAAAACCTTAAAAACTCTGTCCAGTTGGAAAAAGAACTTAGAGTGTCTGTCCCAGCTCAGGCGAGTGAGGACCGACTGTCCCAGATTACAGAATGACCTAGGACTCGGCCACTCGAAGACTGCCCGTATTCCTGATTTCCGCTGGCGTGTCCTCAGCACGCCTGTCTTGCAGGGGCCTTTCCGGAGCTGGCTAGGTCCTGTTACCGTTTCCCATACGTAAGTTTCAGTACGAGTTTAATTTCATCTTGGTCAATGCCGTGTGTGTGTGTGTGTGTGTGTGTGTGTGTAGACTTGCACACATATACTCAGATCCAGATAGAGTCCAACTATTTTTTTTTACCTTAAGCCCATCCGTTTCCTTTGTCAAAAACCACTCAAGTCTTTGTAACTGGGGCCAGGAGGAGTTGCTGCAGTAAAATGTGATGCTCTGCAAGGCGGATCCGTGTTGGAAGGTTCCAGGTTCGAGTCTGCGACCTTCCAGAGGACACCGGGCACGTGTGTGCCCCATGATCGGGGCTGGCTGGGGCTCGGGTGAATCCCGGTGTCACAATGTTTTTACGGGTGTCATAGACATAAATATACTTTTTCTTTCTTTAAAAAAGAGTTATTTAACTTTATTATTATTACTGTTATTATAATTATTATTGTAACGTGGTTTGGGACATGTGTGCTCACTACAGAGAGACAGTGATGGGAAATGAGAAAGCAAGCCACCAGGGCCCGGGCTCAAATTGAGGTTGGCCCCGTGAGAGTCCAGTGCCACCTGCTGGCCCCTAAGTGTATGTTTCTCGCTTTCTATCTCTCTGTCTCTCATTGTGAGTGTACGTATCCTATGACAAAGAAAAACAATTTTGCAAATAGCATGCTTATCCTTATGAATTGGGAGTTACGTCTTCAGAGGGAGGAAGCTGTAAGCAGAAAACCTTTAAAACTCTGTCCAGTTGGAAAAAGAACTTAGAGTGTCTGTCCCAGCTCAGGCGAGTGAGGACCGACTGTCCCAGATTACAGAATGACCTAGGACTCGGCCACTCGAAGACTGCCCGTATTCCTGATTTCCGCTGGCGTGTCCTCCGCACGCCTGTCTTGCAGGGGCCTTTCCGGAGCTGGCTAGGTCCTGTTACCGTTTTCCACACGGGAGTTTCAGTACGAGTTTAATTTCATCTTGGTCAATGCCCTGTGTGTTTGTCTGTGTAGACTCGCACACTCATACGTGCACACATGTACTCAGACCCAGAGGGAATCTAGCCATTTTTGACATTAAACCCATCCGTTTCCTTTGTCAAAAACTACTCAAGTACTGGTAACTGGGGCCAGAAGGTGTTGCTGCAGTAAAATGTGATGCTCTGCAAGGCGGATCCGTGTTGGAAGGTTCCAGGTTCGAGTCCGTGACCTTCCTGAGGACACCGGGCACGTGTGTGCCCATGATCGGGGCTGGCTGGGGCTCGGGTGAATCGCGGTGTCACGATCTTGTTGTAGGTGCTCTGTCTCTGTCTTCCCCACTGACTCATTCATCAAATAAATAAATCAACATTTAAAAAATAAATACATTTAAAAATACCGTCTTTGGTGCTGTCCCGCCCTTTCTCTGTTTTTGCACGTGACACTGAAACAGCAGGGAAGGCCGTCTGAAAGTCATGACACTATGGGGTTGTACACAACAGACATCACTCCCTCTGCGCACCCCACCCCTCTTTTTCCCAAATATCAGAGACCTAAATAGGGTTTTTTCTTTAAAAGAAAAAGAAAATGAAAGGCTAGTAGGTGGCATGGTGGTTGGGGCTCTGAACTCCCACGGTTCAAGTCCCAGACCTGGCAGCTTGCTTTCTATCTCTCCCTTTCTCTCCCTCTCTCTGTCTCTCTCTGGTCATATATAAAAATAATAAAAATAACAGCAAAGACAATGAAAGAAATAGATAATTCTTTTAAAAATTATTTAACTTCATTTTAATTTGATTTGGGACTTGTGTGTGCATCAGAGAGAGAGAGAGAGGGGATGTGAGACAGCAAGCTGCCAGGTCTGGGACTCAAACTGCCGTCAGCCATGTGGGAGTCCAGCACCTTCACCACCACGCCACCTGCAGGTCCCTAAATATACTTTTTCAAATTGCTTTAATAATGATTTAGTTAGTTTTTTTTATTACTATTATGATGATTCATTTTCTATAGGGCACATGCACCCACCAGAGAGAGACAGAGAGACAGAGAGATAGAGAAAGAGAAAGCAAGTCCTCAGGTCTGGGACTCCAACCACAGTTGGCCGTGTGGGAGCCCAGCACCTTAACCACCATGACATCTACTGACCCCCCTTTTTCAAACCTTTCCATTTATCCTTCCAGTTACGTCCTTCTGATGCGTGCATTTCCGTAAGCCATCCAAGCTTTCGCTGGGAGTCCCCAGCCATCCCGAGCTTTCTCCTCTCAGGATAATCGCAAAACCTCAACCGTCCTTGCTGCTCTTCTTGGAAGCATTTCTGTCTGGACTCTGCAGGGAATCCAGCTGCCCAAACGTGTGTGAGATCTTCTCAGCCGCTTTGGAAATATTCTTCCTTCTTCCCAGGGAAAATCCATTTTAAATGGAATATCGGAAACCACTGTACTTGGGGGAGTGTGGTTAACTGATGAGCGAGTTCCTGCTGGAGATGATAGACTCTGATGTTTTTTTTAAAGAAGGATGTGTTTTAATTTTATTTATTATTATTATTATTAGTTTAATTTGACCAGAGATAGAGGGGGGGAAAGTGAGAAAGCAAGCCGCCAGGTCTAGAACTCAAACCGCGGTTGGCCAAGTGGGAGTCCAGAGCCATTAACCTGTATGCCATTGGAATCTGATTTGTTTTTCCTTTTTAAAATTTGCTGTAGGCTGTGTGTGCTTACCAGAGACAAAGAGAGAGAAAGGGAAAGTGAGAAATCATTCCCAGGGGGATGGCCACGCCGCAATCCCTTCTCCTCTATTCTCCTCTCGGGATTTGGGCACGCACGCACACGCACCCAGCATGGTGTCCGGGCAGTCGGGTCTGAGACTCGAACTGCAGTCAGCCAGGTGGGGTCCAGACACCCCAAACCCTGTCGCTATCTGAAACGCCGTCATGGCTCCTGAATTCACAGGTCTGCTGTACTCGGGGACGAACGTCACGTCACATTTATTGTGATGCGGCGGGTGGGTTTCAGACGCCGTCAGCCCTTGCCCTACCAAGGATTTCAGATAATGACGATGAATCTGGCTCTCGAGGACGCAGGGCCGCGGCTCTGTTCATTTCCACGGTCCTTCTTTCGAATCCTCGCTCTGAAACAGCAGCAGCTCGCCTGGGATCCTTTCTGCAAGGGCCGAGCTTGCTCTGAGCCCCCCGAGTCTTCAGCGTGTGTTCACCTACTCTCACGGCGCCTTTGACTCCCGGTTTTCAATTAAGCTCACTCAGACGGCCTGAAACGTCCCTGAAGCAAGTCATCCGAAGCGGACAACTGCGCTTCAGAAACGGGATGCAGAGACAGTTTCTCTCTCTGGTCAAATAAAAAATAAATGAATGAATAAATAAAAATTAAATGAAATAATTCTTAAAAAAAGGCAACCCATAGCTCATGCTATAAACCCTTTGCATTTTTAAAATGAATTACTTTTTATTTAACTTAATTTATTAT